CCATAGAAGTCTATTCTCTCTACAACCCTTAATCTTTTCCAAGTTTATTCATAGCTTGATCAGTTTTAGAGTCCCCTAAGGGCATAGCTGTCTATGGCTTTTCCTTCTTTACTCTCAATTGCAGTGGAGAGTTTAATGGTTCAGCTACTTTTTTGACAAATGACAGGGTTATATATCTTTGGATATGTTTATGATTTCGCTGCATTGGTTCATAGTAATTGTATTTCAGAAAAGCGACATGATTGTAAAAATTATGTTTTTTATTTTATGTTGAAGCCTTTGGGATATGACCGTATTAAAATTCCACGTAATATCTTCTTTTATCTGGGACCCCTGTTTATGTTTAAGACTCTTTAAAATTTGGCTATCTTTCCTCTAATGCTTCTTAGGCTTTTCTCTATCTTTTCAAAGCGACTTGTATTATCCTTTTTCATCTTTCTAGCTAGAGCCCGAGTGTTGTATTGATGAGAAGATATTTTTACACCTTAGTACCACAATTAAAGATTTAATGACAATGCTATGATAATAAATGCATGAATGAATGTAATGCAACTGAAATAAAAAAAATAAAAATATTTGCCCTTTAAAAAAGATCCAACAAAAAAAAAACTTTCATTTATTCTACAGAAGTCTGTTTTATATCAAACCTAATACTGTTCCTCTATAGAAACGTCTAACTTACTCATATTGATCCTTAACCTCTTCAATGAAGTTTAATAGTTTTTACCCATGCTTCCTCGTCGGTGTGATCAAAGCTCTCAAAGTCTCAGCCTTTTCTGCCATATCGTCTGCTTGAATCACGGCCATACCTATCTAAATAGTGAGGTGCTTATGTATCTCTGTCTTCTTAACCCTTTTTTTTTATCACACCACACTTGATGAGATAATTCTCTGTGCTTTTCTGTAAGGATCCTGACACGATTTTTTTTGTTCCCTTAGCTTCAATGTCAAAGTCAGGATATGGTTTAACAGCCATTGGTTCTTTTGCTCAACCTCTATAAAAGCATTTTCTATGTGGTGCGTTCCTCTTTCAACTCTTCATTTTCGTGAGCCAACTCAGTATTGTTTATTTTTTTATCTTGTACCTATATACGTAACCTCTTATGCTTCTATTGTAACTCCTTCAACTTTTTTAGGGCATCATCCCATTCTCAACAACCTTCTAAGCCTTACTATATTCTTTGGAAATTCTATGGGCTTAGATTTTTAGTTTTTCTACTTTGTTTTGCCATTAATCTTTTTCTTCCTGTAGCTTCAAGACCTCTTGTCTTAGTTTCTTTTTTTCCATCTCATGCTCTAATTTTGAAAGCTATTTATCAGATTCTTAACCCACTAGTAAGTCGTAATCCTGAGGCCCAGATGCAATCTTCTGACCTCTTTTATTTCTCCAAACCAAATATCCCTGAGTAACTCGATCCGTTAATGGTCATGGGCTTCTTCTAGGCTTTAATTATGTTGTCAATCTTTTGGAAGGTTTCGAGCTCCTCATATGAGCAGTCGAACTGGTCGAGCTTGTGGGTCATACGAATAAACTGTTCAGCTCTATGATGCCTCCTTACCATTAATGGGACATAACTTGTTAACCCTCATAGGCCTAAGAGTGGGACCTCTGTCTCATCTCTACATTGGTAAAGCATAGGTTCTCTGCCCATCCATGGAGCTAACCATCTTACTTGACTAACAGTGAGTCCTTGCATCAAATATTTTCACTCCTTTTGAGTTCTTACCTTTGGCCAAGTGCTTTGACAAAATTCTTTAATTAGACTCTGAGTATGAAGATAAAGTTTGGTGAAGGCACTTTTCTTGCACTCAAAATGGCTTTTTATCCATACATATAATAAGGGTATACAACCCATGAAGCATACTTTATCCATCTGCCTATAAAAACTCAGAGATTTAATAGTTTCTACCAAGATAACTGGTCAAGGGTTACAATCTCTTTCAATCTACTCAAATAGATCCACCACTTTTATTTCAAAATGTCCTAAGACCTTGGGAAAGATAACCAACCCATATATGGCTAGAGCAAACACATTTATTCCTTGGTCATCATCTGGATGCTTGATAATGAAATCTCGAAAGACCCCCATGCAATACCTTTGTGATCATTTTTCTCCTGAATGTATGAGTTTATAGTCTCTTTTCCCACCCCTAGCATCTGGCTCAGCTTCTTGTGATCCCTGATTTGTATTTTTTCATGTATGTTTGATCTAGATACAATAGATGCATACCCATCAGAGTTGAGTATTCCTCAATTATTGGTACTAGATAACCTCATTAAAGATAAAACATTGATAGGAAGGATCCTAAAATTGTACCATTACCCTGATAAATGAGTAGTCAACCTCCACTGACAGGAGATGTGTTATATGTCCAAACTTTTCACAAAAAGCTCTTGCCTTGAAGGGTCATACCATTCCATATGTCTAATAATCTTTTCAAGTTATTGTGTTTGAGGAATAGGTGGGCTTCTTTTGATAATGTAGGGACATGACCAGGCGGCAAACAATCTTTTCTTCTAGCTGCCTCTTTTCTGATTCGATCTTCACCTCTATGGGAGAATCATATTTAAACAACATAGATGAGTTACAAACCTGACGTTCTGTGGAATCCATAAGGATTTTTTATTGAAAAAGCTTTGGGGCAAGAATGCAATTTACGAACATGTTCATGAATGTGTGCAAAAAGAAATAAAAGAAGAAAAAGAAATTAGTTAGTCATTTCAATGAAATATAAGGAAAACATAATAGTTAAGATAACAACATGACCTAGAATTTGAGATTATCTACAAAGGGTGGGAAAATAAGGCTCTATCTATGGTTGGGCTTCTAAAGTCAACTATATGTGGTTTGGGCCATTTCTAAAAGGTTCTTAAATTGTTTCCTACATCATAGTTCATTACAAACTAGTAAGGCACCCAAATCCTTACCCATTATAGGTTTTAAATGAAAAAAGGTTCAATCTGCATGGGAGTATTTCGCATCCCTTGCGGAGACATGAAATCTCAAGAGGGTATAGATACTTCACTCTTTCCTAAAGGTAGAACCCGGGTGGAGAGCTTATGTTATGCATATGCAAGTGAATGACAAATAAGCATATATCTAGGTGAATATAAATTCTAAATAATGGGGTAAACAAATGAACAATAATAAAGTAGATATAAATAATGGAAAGAAGTAATTTCGAATTTGTTAGACAAGACTTGGATAATAAGAAATCTTTTATTGGCTTGACTCTTCATAATGTCTCTAGTGGAGTTGCCAAACTATCATAACGTATAGTTCTATAAACCTACCGCTAGACATGGATGAAAGAGAGCCGCCACTAATATTTTTTGTCTAGGTGTGATTAGCCACTTGATTGAATCTGATCTATAAAACAGATGTTAGGTTCGGGAGTTAATTACGCATAAGAAAGGTTGTAGCACCCCCCACAACGCCCATCCAAAAGATGATACCGGTTTGATTTTTGAATTATCCAAGCCTTGATCACTTTTATAAAATACCATATAGTAAATTTTATATTTTCCCTTTTTTGTTTTTCCTTTTTTTGTTTTTTTTTTATGAAAAGACAAAATAATTTTTTCACTTTTTTTTCTTTTTTTTAATTAAAAAATAGGAAATAAAATATGGGTAAAAATAAATAAATTAAAATAAAAATAAAAAAATAAAAAAAGAAAAACTAGAGGTCGAGTCAGGTCAGGACCCGAGTCAACGCGTGAATTTTCAGGTCGACATGTGGATCTTGGCTTGACGAAATGGCATCGTTCTGGAGCAGTATAAAAGGTGCCTTTCAGCTTTTTTTCTTAGAAACCTCAGAGCCTCTTTCTAAAAACCCACCGAAAAAGTTCAACCAGAAACTGAAAATCTCACTAATTTCTGAAAACTTCGCTGAAAAATTCAACCGAAAACTGAAAAACCCACCAGTTTCTGGAAAACCTGTCGGATTCTGAAAATTTCATCGAAATCTCATCGAAAACTTCAACTTTCGCCGAAAAATTCTACTGAAAAATTCAATGTTCTTTAGAAAACCCAAAAAAATCCAAAAAAAAAATTTTTAAAAGTCCAAAAAAATTTTCAGATGGTCCTAGCCCTTCCTAAACCTCTTACAACTTCAAATCTATCTTCAGAAACCCAAAATCACACCTAGAACTACAAATTGAACTTGAAATCCCTATCCTTGAATCTTAGAAACCCTTACTACCAAAACTTTTCCAAACTTCTCTAATAATTTTCCTTATGTTTTCTCTTTGTTTCTGTGTGTTCTTGCTCTACAGATTAAGTGCAATTTATAGGCAGCCTAGGATCAATTTTAGGAAATAAACAAAATCAATCCCAAACTTGAATCTTAGGATTGCATTTTATTCAGCGAAATTTTCGAGTCCAAAATTTCAATCATTGCAATCAAAGTTTTGATTCATAATTTTAATCTTGATTATCTTACCCACGTGCATACTGAATCGAAAAGGAAAAATCTCAAGAAAAAAAAACAAGAAAAGAAATAAATAAAAACAATAATGATAATAATAATAATAGTAAAAACAATAATAATAATAATAATAATAAAAACACCTAATTTGACTTAGATGGATCAAAATGAACCCAGATCAAAATGGATCTAATCAAATTCGGACTAAAATAGACCTAATTGAATTCAGACCAAAATGGGTATCTATAATATTTTATAAATATTAAATGTGTCGTGCAATTTAGTGGAGGCGACGCAACAAAACCAGAAGAAATCGTGCAATTTAGTGGATGTCAACTCGCGTAGGCCTTGATTTATTTATATACAGGTATTGGTCGGTTAGTGGAAGTTCACGCCTCATCCTACATTTAGCTTCTATAATATAATAATAAGATTTGCTTCAAGCCAATAATGATCATATAGAATATTTGTAGTGCCACAAATATGATAATAAGGCGTGGGCGGATGTGAAGAGAAACGAGTGCCATGAGTGGTTCAAAAAGGATGACTTGGTTCAGTTTGTGGGGTGGGCGATGTTACTGTAGAACTCAAAACAGAACAATCATATGCAAATTCTTCAGAGAATGCTCGGATTTACATTTTTTTGACATGTCAATGCAAACCAAAAGTTTCAAATAATAGCGGGCAATGCATTATTATTATTAGTCTACATAAAGAACTTGTCATAATGAGAAAGGTCTAGGTATCACTGCCTTGCCTTCTATCATTTTTAAACATATGCATCGGTAAACCTAAGATCAAGCTTACCCTCGAAAAGGAATCACGCATCAGTTCCCTTCAAAGCTGTGTTCTTGCTCTTGTATCTCAGTGGAGTTCACGCCCGAAACACCTCCATTCATCTCCACCGCTCCTGCTGACTCTGATATTTCTGTGATCCTCTGTAACTCATCAACCTCTGAGGGGAGAGCCACTGACTGATCATCAGCCAATTGTTCTTGTTTAGAAGTTTCTCTCTGAGCTGATAATTTTGGCTGTCGAATGGCTTCAGCTGCTTCTGGCATTGCTACAGGTGGTGGCTGGGGAGGAACCCATGTACGTGGAATTGGTTGTTCATTGGTTCTTACACCATAAGGTCCAGCTTTACCTTCATCTTCATTTTCAATCTCTGTGATTCTAACATTTTTCCGTTGCCACCAAGGCGTTGAGCTCTCATTATCAACCAGATAGTTTAACCCATTGTCTTGCACTTTTTGATTCAAGCCTCCAGCACTTCCTTGAGATTGGAGTACCTGGCTGGATCCATTTTGGGCCTCCCAGGGCTACTCATTTGAAAAAAAAATGGCAGTCAGATTTGGGCAAATAAAAGGCAGGTTGACATTGCCTTATACGAGTCAAATTTCTCAGCACAAAAGCACTACTATTTTCAAAGGATTGTAACATTCTAACGGCATGAACCCAGTGGCAACTTCAAAACCATCCCAAAGAATAGAGCATGGTGGTCAAGTTTCATTAAGTTTCCATAGATTGACCCTCCCCCTACACCTCGACATGCAGAAACCTGATGCAGAGGGCTACCCATTTTGTCCAAACATCAAACAGCAACTATTTGGTAAATAGATTAATTATGGCCCTATATAGGTGTCGTACAAACTCTTCAAATATAATACTATATCCAATTTTTCAAGGATGTTTAATTAACCAAATTGAAGTGAAACCCTAGTAAATATATGAAAACAATGCAAGAGGAAAACGATCCAAAAGATTAAGGAAAAACTCTTGAACACACCTTAGTTCTTGGTGCTCTGCGAGGATATGATGGTTGCTGGTTAGGGTTGGGAGGCATATCATTAATTTCCTGTATATGAATTAGAAATGACAGAGTTACATTGATGCAGTAAACAAGTCAATATCAACATAGAAATGCGAACTGGATTACTCTGATATTTGAAGGTTTCTCCCCTCTCTGGACCATAGCCATAATCTGCAACAAAATTACAAGTATCAATATCAAAATGCCTTTAAAACCAATCCAAAAATATGATATTTGTTTTGAAACTGTTAGAAACGGATTGTAAGACCAATTAAACTAAATAATCTTGGTCGCAGCTTGGTCTAAGTGAATTAAGAATGGCAAGTAAATTAAGCAGTACAGTGGAACATTTATTATAGTAATTCTTTTAAGGATGTTGAGTAGCAAAAGGATAAAGAGAATTACTACCTCCATATATGACTTCGGATGTGGTGGTTCAGCAGATGCAGGCAGTGAGGAAGATCTCACTGCATAGAAAATCATAATTATATGGTACAGGAATTCAAACTGTTTGACAGACTACACAACTAACTTCCAGAATATTAATAACAGGAAAATTACCAGAGCGCACATCAGCATCCATCTTGCCATTCGCATAGGAATGCTGTACAGGCATTTTTTATTTAGTAATAACTCATCTTGCACAACTCAAACATATATGAAGCATTTGAAGTTAACATTTAGTTTTGGCATACCTTTGCACTTGAGGCTGATACTCTATGATCTTCATGATCGACAAATGTTCTGCCAGAGCTATTAGCTTGTCCTAATGGTTAGACAAATAAGAGAATTAATACTGAACTTAAACTACTCACTGAACACCATTGGGATGTCTTACTCAGAAATCTAAATTACATTTAGGCACAGAAAGACAATAAAGCCATTTTAATTAATTTCATGAGGTGCTCCAGGGAAGTGGTTAGCAAGCAGTACCAGTGACACTAAATGGCATTTTGGATGTTACCAAATGCCAAGTAAAGTTAGTTTAATAATCATTATTACGAGGTCCCTCACCATGCATCAAAATTACGAGCAGATAGCTAGTTGAGTAATTGCACTAGGTCAAGTATGTACTTGCCGAGGCAAAATCCTTTAGTAAACAAATAATCTAACATTCAAGCAAAAGCAATATCAAATTATTCAGCGCAACAAGAGGAAGTGAACTCTTCATTCAAGCTGTAACTTCCTAAGCAATATCAAATTTCTTTCATGTGCACCCATAGTAATCAAAATTGGACTTTTATGAACATAATCAAATTCCAAAAGCACCGACCATGTGCCCTGTTACAACCAAGGTGTCCAATCCTGAACACCAGAAAACAGCTGATGCTTTGAGGAGAGATATATCTCCACTCTCCAGTATGTGAGTCAACTTGTTTTCTTCACAATCATGGTAAAAGAATAAGATTGTGGAGAGCCTCATTTCAACTTATAAAGCCTCTAAGCTAACAAAATTTTCAATTCACATTTTCCCAATATAAAGTTCTAGTGTTTTAGGTCAAAACCTCTTTGTAATATGGCTAAACTTAAACTTAAAGCATCCAGTAACTATTAAGGAAAATATAAAGCTCTTGTTATTTGGAGAAAATAAGGTTTAAAGAAAGAAAAAAGAAATGTATTTATTGCATCATTTCATTGTCTAGTTTACCATAAGTTTAGATGCTTTTGTGTGCCAGAAATTTAAGAGAATGCTCTAGAGGCAAGGTATCAATATCCATAGCTGAATTAATTTCCAGCATGATGTTAACTGAGGTCATAATAGCACCCTGAATAAAACATTACTTCCTTTAACCATCAAATTTACAGGAAAAGTTCAAGAACCAAAGTCCATGTATATTTCGTAAGACCAAGCTAGACTAAAAATTAACGTCTACATACCTTCCAATTTCCTTATAGCATTACTCATTGATTTCATTTCTTGTACTTGCACATCTATCAGATTCATAAATTCCTCAAAGTGCCTTCTCTCTGACAAGGATCAAACTAGGTTCAGTAAATCACAAAGATAATTAATCAAGAAATAAAAGAAAAAAGACCAACAAAACACAATCAAACTACTCAGCAAAAAACAAAGGCCATTAGAATTCGACCTTCGTTTTTGGAGTTCAACATTTCCTGGCTTGCTTTTGCAACATCAGCAGCTGCAGCCGCAGCTGCTTTTGCTGCAGCTGCTGCCTCTTCTGCCAAACTTGGTTTTGCATTGCTCTTGGCATGGTCATTTTCTTCTTCCAACACAACTTTACGTATCCAAGACTTCAACCTTGGGATAATAGCATTCTAAACAAAAAAGAAGTTATCTGACCATCTAATATAACTGTGAGAAAAACCTAGTTTATGAAAATGCACTTGAAGCTGGACATAAGCAGCTTCTTCCAGCATCAGAACATGAAGTTAAGCTAGGCATTGATGTATAATATATCTTACTAAATATGAAATGATAGAAGATATAATCTTTTGGGTAATGAACAATAGAAGATATTGATACCTTGATTAAGACAGCTGTGCCAGCTCCTGAAGCCGCCAGTAACCCTACAGCAAAAACAGCATGATACCAGTGAAACCGTGATCCTGCAAGTATTCCCACAGATCCAGTACTAGCAGGAGCAGCGGCCACAGGCTGAGGAGTTTGCGTTGTGGCTTGAGTTTGAACGGTAGATGAAGGCTTCACTTGCCCATCTGATTGCATTATGATACAGTAACAAAATCGCATCAGTGATGCAGGGACAAGAAAAAGGCTTGATTCCCACTTTACTAATACAATGTATTACCTTGATTCAGACTAGCTAGTTGTGAACTAGGAGGAGGGTCCTGTTAAGAATCAATGAATGCTTCATAAACAGATATCAACAGAATTAAAATGTCAAGATAATGAACCAACAGAAAACAATTATATTACAGGCACACGCCGGAAAGCTTCATCTATCTCCTCTTTTGTAAGGCCTTTCCTCTCGAGAAACGACCTTCTATAAACAACAGGAGAACCCCTAACTTTGGGATGTGAAAGAAATTTGACAGCATTCAAAACCTGGTCCTCTCTTATAGGTTCAGAGTTCACAAACACAGATGCTGGAACATTCTGTTTAGTAGCCTCTGGCGGCCTAACATCTTGTTGAACCTCATTTGCTTGTTGTACAACCTCTGTATCAATGGGTTCTAAAATTAGAGTTTTAAAAAAATAAAAATAAAAATGGAATTATTCATTTATCCTTAGGTATACCAATTTTTTTTCTTTTTTTTCCCCTTTAATAGGTTCCAATTTCTCACAAGTATCTAGAACCAGAACTTTCTTTTTCTTATAGCAGAGCATATACGTCAGCTTTTAAGAAACGAAATTCATATAAAAAATTGGGCTTTAATTTACTGTTAATAGAATGTCAAAGTTATGAAGTTTAAAGCCTATAATAATATAGAGAAAAAGGGAAATCAGACCTGAGATTGTTTGGGGTTTATCTTCGTCGGTGTTGGGAGGAGCAGGGGACTGAGTCGTCGCCATAGCAGCTCACTGAGTTGGAAGGAGAAAAAGAAAGGATGAACAGTTGAAGTGAAAGAGTCGAGAAACAAATTTGATTGAGAACGGGGTTGCTGACGACAGATGATGAAAAGGGTAGGGGTCGGAAAAAGAAGATTTTGCTTATTACGATGCTGCTGCTACCATCTTCTCGTCATTTATTTATCCATTCTCAATCTCAAGCTCATCACCTTTGTTGTTGGCTCTTTTGAAGAAAGAAAGACAACAAAATTTTGGTTGGATAATAGTATGAATTTACGCTGCGTTCGGTTTTTCTGGATTGGGCTTTCTTTCCAAATAAAATCAATAATAATTTCTGGGCTTTAACTTACCTGTTGAAGAAAAAGGACGGCATCAAACCTGGATAAGGGACTGCTACTCGGCTCCAGGCCAACAACTTAGGGCCCGTTCGGCACCCTGAAACATAGCGATTAAGCTTGATTAAATTTAATGTTATAAATAACATATTAATATTCGTAAGTGATTTTAATTTAACTTGATTAAAATTTAAATTAGACTCAATTATTATTAAGTTGAATTCGAGCTCAAACAATTTAACTTATTAAACGAATCAAATTCAATTATATTAATATCAAATTCGAATAATTCATAAGTTTAATCGAATTTTTTTATATATATTATTTTATTTATGAAGTTATTATCTTACTCTTAACTTAAAAAACCTTAATCTTTTTCATTTTATTATTTCCCTTTTACTCCTCATCTCCCTCATCTCACCAAAAAACTTATCTACAACATCTCTTCCTTTCACTCCCTCCCAATTTTTTCCGACACCGATATAGTAGCCAATTAACCATCCTTCTGAAACCAACTTAGTCATTCTCACTAGGGTTATAAATGAACCGAATGTGAACGAATGAATGTATGTTTGTATTTATTCGCTTATTTTTAAATGTGTTCATATTTAATTCGTATTTGTTAAGAAAAATACTCTGTTCATTCATGTTCATTTGTTTAAATAATAAATTATTCGTGTTCGATTCATATTTGTTTAATTAAATTAAACGAGCTCCTTCGTGAACATTAAACAAGCTTCTTCACGAATATTAAACGAACATATTCACGAACATGTTCATGAACATATATAAATGAATACATTCATAAATAATAAATAAATCACAACTAAACAAATTTAAACAAACGAACCATTAATAAATATAAATGAACCCAGACAAACATAAAATAATCTTAAAATAAGATTAGAGTCAATTATAAAAATATAAGTTTATTAGTGTTATTATAAACGAATAGCAAATGAACAATAAATGAATAAATTTTAAATAAACCATAAACAAGTTTGCTCATGAACATAAATAAACAAACAGACAATTGTTAGTAGATGGTTCGTATAATAAATAAATGTACAAATAACATTTAAGATTGTTTATTGAGTTTAGTAAATGAAAATAAATAAAAATAAACGAACATAAATCGAATATATTCACGAATGATTCGTCGAAAATTTTATTCACTTACATCCCTAATTCTCACTCCCCTTATTCCAGTTCAATGGCGCCCCCTTTCCTCTCCCTCTCTCTCGATTATTTCTAGGTTAGTCCCTCTCTCACTCCTCGATCATTTCTAATAACTTTTATAATATTTGGGATGATTCTTATGTTTTTGAATGGGTCACTTTGACAATAAAATTTGGGAACTTTATGATTTGGTGATACGAGGAATTTGTGATCCAATGAGTCTAAATTTAAAAGCTTGACTTAGCAAAAAAAAAAAGTTTGGTGGACGCCATTAGCTCGAATAGCTCAAGTTTTGGAGTTTTTTTTTACAAATCTTACTATCACATTTTTACATAGCTTCTGAAAAGATGAATTTTGATTTGGATTTGATTAATTTTTATACAACTTCTAGAAAGATGAATTTTAATTTGGATTTGATTATTTAGAATTAATTTGTTAAGTTTTTTTTTATAATTAATTTATTAAGTATTGTTGTCTTAAATAGTTTAAATTAAGATATTTTTATCCATCATGTTAATTGATTGGTATATTTTATTAAATATCAAGATTAATTAAATAAACTTGAACTCAATTTTAACTTTACTTCAAATTAAATTTAAATTTAAAAAATAAAATTCGATCAAATTTTAAACTTAAACACAAATATAATTGTATATCGATTTAGTTTGATTACGCCTATAGTGAAATTGCAAGGCCATTTGGCTAGGCTTCCACTGCAAAAGTAAACCAAGCCGAACTACACTGGACCTCGAATTTGCACTCCGAGAACAGTTGGGCCTTGATGGTCAAGCACGGGACGCTAATTTTATACCCTTGTCGGTTATTTATTTATTTATTTCTTTATTTTTTCTGAAGTGCTGTTCAAAAATGACCTTCTTGATATCAAACCGACTCTAAATAAAAATTAGTCAGTCACTGTTTGTACTGGGATCCATTAAGCCCACAATCGCTGCCCTCACTTCCGTAAGTCTGCAATCAAATGGAATAATTGCCACCCGAGTCCCATCCGCATTTGCAAATTCTTCATATTTTCCTTTTTCTACATAAATCCTTTTTTTTTTTTTTCATTCAGCGAGATAAACCTTTGTCTTCCATGTGAATCTCGTCGGCTTTGATAAAAAAAAAAAGTAAGAATTCCTTGATATACGTCAGTAATCATGGGTGTCATAATTGTTTCCAGCTAAATGCCAATACATACGAAAGTGGAAGCACATGTATGATCTCCTAAACATGGTTTAATGGACTACCACCACTTTCTACTGGCTCCTCTCCTTTGTCAAAGTTAAATATAGAGTTTTGTTGATGACCAGATTAAAAAAAAATGCATAAGTATAAAAAAAATTATGATATAAACAGTGTTATATCAGAGTTGTAACTAAAAAAAATTATTTAATAAAAAAAATAACTATGAATTTTAGCAGTAAAAGAATAACTATAAATTTTATTTATGTTGATGTAATTTTTATCTTATCATCAATAAAATTCTTCATTTAATATTAAAAACAAAATGGAGAGTAGCCAAATCCCTCCCTCTACAAGGTTTTAGAGCCGACCAATGTCCACTCTTTTTGGATCAGGCACTTCTCCATGGCTTCATATTTAAGATCGAATGTGCAAACCCCAATCGTCGCAAAAATAAAGGTCAAATGTTCGTACCAGTAAAGGATGAGTTAAAAAAGATTAATGTTTATCTAAGGAAAAAGAGATTAATTTTTCCATAATTAACTGTTTTATCACTTAATATGATAACATTTCTTATGCTCATAGAATCTAAAACTCTTTACCTTTGTCCTCAAATTCGTAATCTGGCAATTTGTTAACGGCAACATTATAATTTACCTTTTTTAAAACGGTTAGAACGTTTTTAAACATTTTGTTTGAACTTAATTTTTTTCTGATGATTTTAATAATGCATTTTTCACATTGATTTGATGTATTTAATATTTTACTCGATGTATGATTGATAAGAAAAGAAAAGAAATCCTTTCGCAACTGAATTAATATTGTGGGTACAATATTATTTTTTCTATATACATAGTTAATGAACCTTAATACTAAAAGTAAGAGGGTGAGGGATGGAGGAAGAAATTAAGCTGAAAAGTTTAAAAATTATTGTTGGGTGCGCTTTTGTTAAAACATGAACATGTGAATGTATAACCTGATAAAAATGGAGAGCTCCTTCGTGTAGAGAAGAAAAAACCCACTGAATTTTGTAGCAACAATTTTTGTGTACGGTAGGATGTCATTCAGAAGCAAATTTCCAAATAGAAGTTGCCTAATTTGGCTGTATCAGACGATAATGTAAAATTCCCATCCCTTCAGCTTCTCGGCAGAGAGGCCATTGTGTTCATCGAACCTTTTGTAACATGATTTTTTTAAGGGTCTAAGCCCCTTTTTGCTGCCTTCTTGCAGTCGGGAATTTTTATCATTTTGTTGAAAAAGCAAAGATTCCCCACTCTGTTTTGATAGATTTCCAAATGAACATATTTTCTCCATATCTTGCGTCTTTCTATATTATTCTTTTAAAGTTCTTAATCTACCACTAACCCCTTACCCCGTTAACTATAAAGGTTATTTGATCAAGGACGGCATTATGATTTACGTCTCAAACTCCAGCAGCCTTTCAAGTGACGCCCATCACATGCCATTCGAGCTAAACGGTCGTTGGCTCAAATCATAGATCCTAAAGAGAATGATCACAGGTGGAGGAAATTATTGTGTGAAATATCAGTAGCTCAATGATCATTGTTGATAGGGAAAAACAGCCAACAGGGTACCCAAAGGAAGAACAAAAAAAGAGCAAAAAACAAGGAAAAAGAACCGCAAAAACAATGGATAAAGCCGATACGAGCCTGGAAAGATTGATGTTTTCTAGCCAACTTGTGATCAGAGTCACTCAAATGCTGTTATAGCTGCAAAATTCTTGTGATGAATTTTAGTTTTTTTCAACGAGGTTCCTAACAAAACCGATCAAATAAAAATTAATTTTATAATAATTGATAAATTAATAGAATTTAATAAAAAGATTAATAATATATTATAAATTAATTCAGAATATTGTTTATACTTTATACACAAAATTTGGTCACAACTTATTAAACATTAAAAACTATATCATAGTTTTAATTAAAATACTTAAATAAAATATCAAAACTTATTAAAAAATTTTAATTGTATACACTTCATCCATGTAACAAAATTTTTTAATCTATTAATTTAAAATTTTATTTTAATTTTTATTAGGTCGTTTTAAAAAGAATTTTACAAACTTGAGTATCATTATGTATAAAACAGTGTACTTACTATTAGATATAAATTAAAAGAGTCACAACTAACCTTTTTTTATTAAAGTGTAATTGGTCACCTAACTGAATCTATCTTATTTAAAAAAAGAGTCTTAGTATTGATTTTAGTATCTTTAAATAGTAGATTTTAATCTACAAAACTAGCTTTTAGATTCGGGAGTACGGTTACGTGTGATGAAAGTTATAGTACATTCACAATGCCCATTCAAAGGATGATACAAATTTAATTTCAAATTATCCAAGCTTTAACCATATTCATGATTTACCAAAACATTTAATATTGAAAATTATTTTTAAAATTACTCAAATAGTTTGGTAGTAATTTAGGATAATTCTCTCATCTCATGAGAATTCATAAAGACTAGTATTCAATTTTGAAGAGGCTCCTTATCAGATTCATTAATATATTTTATTTAGAAAATAATCAGTAAAATCCTCTAATAATTTGTAAGATTTACTTTGATGCTGATATTTCAATAA